CAAATCGAGGAGGGTTTTCAAAAGAGAATTTAAAATGGTTTTCAAAATAAGTAAAGGATGACACGGAGGTACGATCAGCCGGAGCCAGTAAGTAACCCCAAAATACCATACATGATATTTGTTTTATTGAGCTTTAATAGAACAGCATGCTAGAGTTAGGCTAGCGATCTTCAGGATTTCTCGATGTGTTTCCTGATTTATGATGCCTGCTAGCCTAGGATTTTCTTGTGAGAGATTTCTAGTGTTCCTCTAGTTGTGAGGATAGAGCGTTGTTATGTATATTTGTCTCTAGGGTGTTGTGGAAGTACTTCATACAAATATGGGTAGGTGTGGAAGGTAGTATGGGCCCGTACTACTGAAAGCACAGGACCCATACGCGTATTAGGGAAACCATGACCTCTAGGGTTGGGTTGAGAGTTGGTTCCCGGGATAGTGGGAGGTGTCTGAGATGTTTTTTGGTGGTTTATTTTCAGTATGGAGATTTTAGGGCACGCTGGGAATGGATCCAGGTCAGGATCAGGAGCAGGAGAGGGAGTTCCGGGTGGGTCTGTACAGCCCGAGGTTGTCAGTCAGATGAGTACGCACGAGTTGGATGCGAGGATTCGTGAGATCCTGCATGATGAGGTTGCTGCATTGTTTCGGGCTGAGCTGCCGGAGTTGTTTGGGTCGATCAAGACCGTCATGGTGGAGTATTTTGATGAGCGTTATGCGGCTCTCACGGAGACGGCTGCCGCGGCGGCTACAGCAGCTGTAGCAGCGGCAGGGGGAGGAGCTAGTAGAGGTTTTCGATATCAGGACTTCGATAGTACGAAGCCTCCCACCTTTGATGGAGTTCAGGATCCGATCGTTGCTATGAGATGGTTATCAGATGTGGAGGGATGTTTCTTCACGTGTTCATGCCCTACTGATCAAAAGGGTGAGGTGCGCTCTGAACCTGTTAAGGCTCGGGGCAAAGGATTGGTGGAGATTGACCACGGGGTCATACACGGATGCGCAGAGGGCTGCAATTTCATGGGATCAGTTCAGAGGGATGTTCAGTAATCGTTATGTTCCGCAGGTCGAGAGGGAGAGGTTGGCTCAGGAGTTCCTCGAGTTGAAGCAGGATTCGGAGTCGGTGACGGAAATCACCAGGATGTTTACTGAGAGGGCGATGTTTTGCCCTGAGTTCGCTTCGGAGCAGGCTCAGATGTCCCGATATCTGAGTATGCTAAAGAGAGACATCAGGCAGTTTGTGTCTGCGCAGAATTGAGAGACCTTGTTAGAGTTGCAGGAGGCCGCCAGGCGGCGTGAGTTAGAGATTGAGTTGCAAATGCGTGAGCTGAGGCAAGCTCCGGTTCAGTCGCAACCAGCGACGAAGCGGTCTAAGACCGTTGATTTCAGGATGGGAGAGCAGAGTAGCCACGTCTATGGAAAGTGTGGAAGGGGTCACGCCGGAGTCTGTCGGTCCGGTGGTGCATGCCGCAAGTGCGGAAAGGATGGGCATTATGCGAGGGATTGTCGACAATCAGTGCTGGTTCGGGATTTGAGGATATGTTATCATTGTCATCAGGTTGGACACTTGAGGGTCAACTGTCCACAGCTTGCTGCAGGACCGGTGCAGGCTCCAGCACCGGCCACGTTGAGGATCACCGGTGGAGGTCAGAATGGAGCGGAGCCCCCAAGGGCTTACGGTCATGCTTTTTGGTTTGCTGTTGCGGGTATGTTTCTTTCCTGTTGTCTTGATTATTTATGATTATTGTGGAGTATCGTCTATCTGCTAGTCTCGTTGGATGGTTATAGGATCGCGTTTCAGGTTTTCGTGTGGCATCTGTTGTTCCTTAGGGGTTTGGTGAGTGATGTTCGGGATTTTGTTTTGGTATCCTTTGTTCCATAAAGGATCGTTATGGTTACGGATCAGTGCTTAGAGATATCGTTGATTATCTTTGTGAGGATTAGTGGTGGATCCGGCGTTGGTTTGAAGGCCGGGTAGCTTCTGCAGTCTGAGGAATGGAAAGTTAAAGATTGGGTTCCTTTCGAGCTGGTTGTTCAGTGTGGAAATATGTTTTTATGAAAGTTGTTAGCGCTGGTGAGGAACTAAGTGCGTGTAAGTGTTGTTTTTCTCTGCATTGTTGTTTTGGGAGATCGGTGATAGCGACCGGTGGTTAATTGTTAGTGTCTTAAGTGGGGGAGAATTGGAAATTCTCCGGATGGTCGTTAGACTTGAGAGGTTGGTTAGCTGCTTGGTAATTCAGTGGTATTTCGATCAGCCGAGAGCAGGCTCGTATGGGTGAGTAGCAGGCGTGCGGGGCGGAATACAAACCTAAGGCATTTGATTATGGAAGGCTTGGGAGTAGGCCGGGATCGAGTATGTATGATGGAGTTAGAGTTCGGAACCATTAGAGGGCTAGAACGGTATGCGCGAGAGGACTCCCCAAAGAGATAGCTCGGAATGATGAATTCTAGTTGAGTAGTCCGGATAGACTGAAGGCCGGTAGGCGTACTAGTCAAGCCGAAGGCTCGGAGGATGGTCCAGTCAGGCCGAAGGCTCGGAGAGCGGTCCAGGTTGGCTGAAGGTTCTGAGAGTGGTCCAGATTGGCTGAAGGCCTGGTGAGGCGGTCCAGTCATGCTGAAGACTCTGCGAGTACTGTTGGATCGGTTCAAGGTTATGGATTGCATATGTTGCCGTGTGATTGCATTGGAAGGTCTGGCCCCGGGTAGTGATCTTGACCAGTGAAGATAGTGCATGGGCTTAAGAGCCCCTGCGAAGAGAGTCAGAGTAGTTGTGTCGAATGGATATCGGGTGCGCTTTAAAGAGGTAGTGTAGCGTGGGGTGAGCACCATAGTACCTTTCATGGTGACAGGGGCGGGCGAGTGGTTTCCTTGGTAAGGAAAGAGGGAGGAATGAAATTCCGAAAGGGAGTGCAAATTCACGGAAGTGAAAGCGGCAGTGTAGAGTTATGATTGGAGTGGTCCGACGGTGGTTTTGAGTAGCATGTTTGCGGCAGTGGAATAAAAGCTCATCCGACTTGGGATGTCTGCTCAGGGCGCGGAGGGAATTCCGCAGGCGTAGAGCCAAGGGGGGGGGGGTCGGAAGGGATGCAGGGAGAGAGTCTTGGACTCTCAGTGAGATTCTGATCAGGGTTTTGGGTATGTATTAGTGGTTCATCATGAAGGGATGTTTGAGGATATCATCAGTGTATCGGGTTTCCAAACCTGAGGGTGCTAGAGCTAGTTCAGCATGTGTGTGTGATTGCAAGAGGAGAACTCGTGGGAGTTGCTCCGGGATTGAAGGATGGGACTTTCTGTCGTCATGGAATGGATAGAGTGGGATTCAGATCGGGGATCCGATGGTTCATGATTTTCTAGCCATATGGGTCAAGTGAATGATGAGAATTGGAGCATTAAGGCATCATGGGTAATTCTCGGTTGTGAGTGCGGCTATCGGAGGGTACAGCCAGTTCCCGGTTTGAGACGGTGGTCAGGACACCGTAAGAAAAGAGAGAGTGAGTTGAGTTTTGATATGTGCATATTTAGTGTGTATTAAGTGTAGCTTGTTTATTCATATATTAGCTAAATTGTTGCATATTATGGACAAAAGGTACTTAAAAGTGTTAAATTATGTTTTTCAGTCCAAAGATGAAGCTCGGAAGCGAAAGGAAGCAAGAGAAGCGGTTAGGAGCTCAAGAGTGGAATGAAGAAGGAAAACACCTAGAAACAGGCTTCTACTCGTCGAGTCGGGCATGGACTCGACGAGTCCGGTCACGGAATCAGAAGGATAATGATTCGGGAGTCAAGATAGTTATCGCAATACGAAGAATGTGAGAGGGACTCGACGAGTCACCATATGACTCGACGAGTCGGAACGCATATTTAAAGATAACTCCACAATCGAGAGGGGGAATTCTGGGAAGTTTCAGAAGTGCTTAGCTGCGAATAAGAAGCCAGAAGAACCCTAGAAGTCGACCAAGGAAGCTAGAATCCAATTCCGGGAGTAATTAAGGCATAATTCATCATTCTACACTACTAGAAAAACAGCCTTTTACGACGCTCATTGCGCGTCGTAAAAGGCTCAGACGACGCGCAAATGCGTGTCAAGGAAGGCCCTGTCATAAAGAGAGACGACGCGCATTTACGACGCTCATTTACGATTTGCAATTACGACGCGCGTAGACGACACGCAATGCGTATCAAGGAATGCCCTGTCATAAAGGAAGACGACACACATTCGCGTGTCGTAACCTTACGACGCGCGTGTTAATGACACGCAATGCGTATCAAGAAAGCCCATGTCAAGAAAGGCCATGTCATAAATGAAGATGACTCACATTTTTGCGTATCATAATTTTAAATGTTAAAAAAAATATTATTTATAGATTTACTAATTTTCAAATTAAATAATACATAAAAATCTCATAATATAAAATAAAATACCATAAATAACAAAGATAATTCATTTCACTAATATGTAAAATACAAATAATTATTCCAATAGTGAGTAAATGTTATAAAAAAATGAACTCATTTATATACAATTGCATCATCTACATTACTATGTGCCAACAACTCTCTGTGTGTTTACTTTTGCTTGAGTCTCGTTACCTCCAAAGCTTTTAGCCATGCAAAAATATGATATCTTGAGTCTCGTTTCAAGAACCAACATCACCTTCAATCACCCAATTAAACTCTAATGTTGGTAGACTGAGAGTTCCAGAATCAAGTTTACATCCATCACCTTCAGTCACCCAATATTCAAGGGCAAAGTTGGAATTATACCTATGATTTTGCAGTGGATGGGTCTACCAAGAGCAAAACACTAATATCACCCATCAATCTTACACCATCAGGTAAGGTCTGTAGAAATAGAGGAAATGAGCTCCTAAATAATTAAGTAAAGACAACAATATTCAAGGGCAAAGTTGGAATTATACCTTCCTTGATCCTCCAAACAGGAGACAAGACACAACTTTTTTAACATCCTCATGGCCAAATATGGAAGGGGCAATCTTGTATTCAAAATGTATTCAAAACAGAAAAAAGATTGCAGATTTAGCTATAAGCCCTGTAACATTTCCAACCCAAGAAAGATCCGAAAAATCTCTTTTGACCTCATTCCCATCGGTGAACCCTGCTACGTTAGCAAATGGTAAGCTCACAGCCACATCCCCATAACAGTAGCATCAAGTTGGTATTATTGGAATAACTGAAAAAAAAAATAGAAGTTTCCAGATAACATTGTCAAGGCATACAACATATTTAATTTCAAGAATCATGTAACTAAGAACAGACTTGATAACTGTGAAGAGTGAAAAGGAGCCATTATAGGGCTTAATAGATTCTCATCTTGTCCAGTTGGGCTAACAGTCGCCACATCATCTTTACATACATCAAAATATCCCCTGAATTCATGTTAACAAACATGTTATTGAATCTCACATGATATAATAAAAACGATGTGAACAGACATGTGTGTGAGTAGTTGAAGATCTTAAAAACTAGAAAGGGTATGAAAATTCAGCAGCACAGGCATGTGTGTGAGTAGTTGAAGATCTTAAAAACTAAATGTAAAACCATTTCATAAAATAATTATGTTAATAAAAGTTTTTGATATTTAACCTTTTTATACAAAGTTGGAAGATCTGACTCCTCAAATGGAAAATAATTATATGTTTACTTTTGTGGGAGTACATTGAGTCCAAAATCTGAAACTTTTAGCCTTTCTTTGGAATCAAGAAGGTGATTTTCAGGCTATATGTATATTACAAGAGCACCGTTAGTAGAAAATAAAGCATTTAATATATAAATCATTACACCTTAAATGATTGCAGTTTGAGCAAACTAAAGTAATTTTAGTAGCCCAATGATTGCGGTTTGAGCAAACTAAAGTAATTCTTCCCTCCTTACTTGAAACAAGTTGTGGGGCATACAAAAATCAACCCTTTAGATTCTCTGGCATCAGGTTAGTTTCTTGCACACTCACCAAACACATGATCCATCATCAGGGGCACAAATTACTATCCAATTTGTTCCAAGTCCAGTGACAACACTTGTATTTGTCTGCAGAAAATAAAGATTGTATTAATAAAAATGAAAAAGAGTCGATTAAATATTATATTCAGTAGTATAAGAATGAACCTTCAATAAGTTAAGCACAATCCTAATGACATCTTGATCTTTCAATAAATCCATATTTCCGTGTGCATATCCTATAATTTCCACCCATTGCTGCATAAATCAAACTTATCATAAGACAATATATTAAGAAATCCAAATTAAGAATTATCCTTCAAAGTATGTTGCTATATCTTTCATATACCTTCCGGTGTAAAGAAATACAAGCAGATTATCAAAAAATGCAGCTTTATAAAATCCTTTAACGCGTTGTGCTATAAACCATAATCTACGAGCTAGTGACCTCTACCCACATAAAAAACAATATCAAGAAGGAGATAGAGAGAGAGAGAGAGAGAGAGAGAGAGGGAAAAAACTTGATGTTGATTCTTTAATTTCATCATCAAAAAAATTAAGTTTTTTTAATTAAAATATGTTGATATTGAATGTTAGATACCTGTTCAGAATCACCCCACTGGCGGAAAGCAGAAAAGGATTGCAAACGAGTTCAAATATATTGGCCATCAACTGTAGCAACACAGTACCATATTTTCTGATAAACTATGAGCCCAGGTCCCTCTAACCCTGTTCTAACTAGAAGAATGATGATGGAAACCATAAGATAAAGCTTCATTTCATGTTTCATGTTGTGTAATTGATTTAAAAAGATTACGTTTTGCTCTTGTTTCCATGGTGAGTTCATCTCCGTATCGTAGATTCATGAGAGCATATCCTAGAGTAGGTTTATGAACCCAAATTGAGAACCTCCAGATAAGAAACTCAAGGAAAGCATCAAGTTCTGCTTCGTATTGAAATAATAATCCTGGCTAATCACAAAAAGGAAAGAAGAGGAACACAATTAATCTCCAATGAACATGACCGATTAGTGTAAAAAAGCATCTAATTGTGCTTAATTAGATGAAGTTGACCAGTAGAAAGAAAGAAATCCTTGAGGAACTCATGCTTATAGCACCTGAAATAATAGACACATTCATAAAAAAAAAATCTTCATATTCTCATATGAAATTAAATAGAAAAACTTATATAGCCTTTACCTTGCATAACGTATGAATAGATTCATCAAAATTACCATAGATTAGTTTCTTCATAGGATTGATACATTTGGGCAATTCCATCAAGGTCAAATATCCAAGAATAGGCAGACGAAGACGAATCAAAAGGGTTTGTCTTCCGAAGATTGGTAACCACCCACTACAATGAGAAAGAAAAATAGTAAATGAAAATGAAAATAGATTTATTATTTGTCTTATAAAAAAAGATTTACCTGAGCCAATTCATTCAAAAACCCCTCACGCATAAGACCACTGATGACCTCCATTTTTGATGTGACCTTCCTTAAAAAAGGATAATAGAAAAATTAAGTTTGTAAAAGTTTAACAAGAATCCTGTATATGAGATACATCAAGATAGCATATGAAAATGAATATGTGAGATCATGGGACAATATACAGTTAGATATTTATAAAATAACCAAAAAAAAAAGTCGTTACTCTTTATGCAACACAAAACACACCTGGTTAGGCAATGCTTTTAGAAAAATGATCAATTCAGCAGGATGATCATCTCCGTCTCTGCCTGCACGTACCTTTCCAAGTGTAGCATCTAAAACCCAAACCTTAAAAATAATAACATCTTATAATATTATTTATCCAGACACCACTTAATGACAAGAAACAAAACATGGCCTTACTCTTACAGGCCTTGCAAGTGGCTTTGCAGCTTGTTCGACCATGCTCAATGCAACTGGATCATAATAATAAGTATGAAAACAAAGGAAAGAGAGCACTAGTATAGTTTTAACTTCCATTTTGCCCCACCAGCTTTACCAACCTGATAATTATACACAAGTGAAATCCAAATCAAAATCTAAAAACACAAACTCAACTCAATCTAGATACAGAATACTTGAAACAAAGCTTAAGAAGTTTCGATGACAAAAGGCAAAAAGGAAGATCACTTACAGCTGCAACAGATTTGTTGTCAGGGTGATCTTCTTTGAACTGCTTTCTAAAGTCCTCCCTTTATAACATTAACAAGAGGAAAAATATTTAAACTTTGGAAATGGAAGTAAAACATGAAGGTAGTGATAAACGAAGAACAGCTACTAACATGAACACAAAGAAGGCGCTAGCGGGTCTCTTGGGTTTATTGGGATCCTTAGCTGCTTTCCCCTTGGCTGCAGTCTTCTTTACAGCCAACCTAAAATTACAACAAACAATTGCTAAAAAGTACCGAAATCATGATCCTGAGGAAGAACAAAAACATAATTTCATTGAAGATGAAAAAAAATACAACATTAAACCCTAGCAGATGGTATGTTTTAAACATAGTTAGATTAAATGGTACACGGTATCGGCTTTCCTTGTAGCACCGCTTGATTTTCCTCCTTTCATCGTTTGATCCTGAATGAAACAACCGAAACAACAAACTAGGTCAAAAATCGAAGCGAAAATGGTTGTAAATGAAAAAAATTAGAGTCGACACCGAGGAAAAAAAGGAAGAAAACATACCTAGTTAGCAAAAAATCTAGGGTTAGGGTTTGATTCGTTTGCGATTGGGGGATACTGGGGTAAGGAAATCGACATATAAATGGCTACGATACGTCGGCAATAGAACTATTTGGGCGGGAAGATTTTCATTCCAAGAGGGCTTGATTATGTTCATGATTTCGGGCCCATTTTGGATAAAACAATGGGGCTTCATTGGTGGCGGTGGTGAACCAGAGAGAAGACGAGGGGTGGTGTGTGCCTAGTTTGTTGTTGAACAGTATGGGTAGAGAGAGAGAGATAGATAGAGAGAGAGAGAGACTTAAAGTTGGTCGTGTATTACCTGCATCAAATTGAAATTAAGGGAATGTTGATAGGGTGGAGGTGGTGAATGAGATGTTTGGTGATACTAATAAGAAGGAGATCGAGTAGAGATCCGATGAACGAGATGTTTGATGATACTGAAGATGAAGATGAAGGACCTAGGGCCTTTTCTTGCTACGTAGAAGAGGCGGGGGGATTAATTTTGGGATTCAATAGGCGGGGGTAATTTTCGTCGATTTCATTTCCCACCTAAAACGCGTGTTTCACTTAAAATTATAAAGCGACACATTCACATGACGCACGTTTTATGAAAGGTGCCCTCCGCATTTCTTTTTTTTTTTCATTTCTGACACTAATCTTAGGGCGCGTAAAAATGCGTGCCCTCTATCCTTCAAATTTTGCAAAACTGACATTATCTTTTAGGGCACTTACAAATGCGCGTCGTCTATCAGCGAGTGTCATTGTTTGCACGTCATTAAAGGGCTATTTTCTTGTAGTGCTACTTATTTCTTTTGTTTTGTAAACATGATTAAGCAACTTGAACATATTTGTTTGTTGTTATTTACCTTAGTTATGAACTAAATTCTTTAGACTTCTGTTTGGGAATACAAAGTTGACAATATGGTTTGATTAATTCCAAGTTGGTGAATTATTGTTATTTTAGCTTGCTAAAGAACCTTGTGTATGAATGATAATTAATTTTCTGTTAATAGGAAGATAATTGATTAGCATGAACATCTATTGATTACCAACCTCATATGATATGTGACCACTATACCATATGTCTAGAATTAATGAATATGAAACTAGAATTAATAAGGAAATTGAGTAAATTCATGTGCAAGCTTGTAAGATGACCATCAAACAAGAGGTTAATTAAGAATAATGCATTAATTAGCTATTGCAAGTCTAACTTAACCCGAATAATTATTCTAGTAAATATAATTAAATTAAGCAATTGGCCACTGTTTGAATTAGTTTATTTGCTAAGGATTAGGGTAGTGAACATAAACCTAATCACTTGAATCGGTAACCAACGAAAGAATTAATCCATTGCACTATTACCTTAAAATCAACCATAAAGTTAACCGAGTTGAACTAAACAGAAGTTCCTTTCCCATTATTGAATCTAGTTAAATTGTCATTTTCTAGTCTTAAATTAGTTTTAGTTAGTAAGTTTCTAGTCTTGTAAAACTAGAGAAAAACCTCTTTTTGCTTAATCAACTTAGATAGAATTAGTTTTTAATTTAATTTGCCGTTCCCTGTGTTCGATATCCTGCTTATTTAGCTATACCACAGTTGATAGGTTCACTGCCTTTTGTGTGTTATTTGATAATTAAAGTAGGATTAAAACTAAGTGAGTTTTACGCACATCAAGTTTCGTGGGGTATGCCTTGAGGGACCTGGTCCGGTTAAAGCCAGGTGGCGCGTCGTGGGAGTATTTTAAAGTTGAGTTGTCGTAAGCTTCGAGGACGAAGCCTAATTTAAGTGGGCGAGAATTGTAACATCCCGTAATAGCAAGAGTAGTGTTGAAGGGCTAAAAGTGTAAATCTTGAAGGGCGACTCGGTGAGTCCATGGATGGACTCGGTGAGTAGAGTCGCGACTTTGGTCGCGTGTCAAGTGACCTACTCGGCGAGTCCAAAGATGGACTCGGCGAGTAGGTGCTGGGCGAAGAAAACCCTAAATCTGAGGAATGAGCCCTATATAAAGACCATTATGTTTCCTCCACAACCTCCTTGATCCCCCTTGAGTCCCAGAAACCCTAATTTCGTGGAGGAGCCCCATTGTTGAGCAAATTGTAGCTTGGAGAGGTGCTTGTTGAAGAAATCTTGAAGGAGAAGAGGCTTGGATCAAAGGGATTTGTTTGGATTCGAGTTTCATTGCTGTTGGCGCATTCTTTGGAGGTAATATTTCGTTCTTGGGTTGTGTTCTCTTAGATTCTCATTTTGGGGTTGTGTGGGAAGCTTAGTTGTGTGGCATCTTGAGTTTGAAGGATGGATCTGAGGTTGCTACCTCAGATCTGGAGTGGAGAAGATCTTAAGAGCATTAAAGCCCCTGTTCTTGTGTTGTTAATGGAGCTATCATGTCCCAAACCTTAGTTCTAAGGTGAATAAGGCCTAGATCTCTTTGGATTCACGTAAAGTTTGCCACTTTACGTGATGGATGGATTGTAGGAGGTTGGATCTATGTTTTGGATCAATTGCATGGCCTGGAGTGCTTCTGAATTGATTCAGACCGGTGATACTCGGCGAGTCACATGGGTGGACTCGACGAGTTGCTTGAAGATGGCCTGGAACTCGGCGAGTTGGAAGAACAACTCGGCGAGTAGGTTGAAGATAGCCTTAGACTCGGCGAGTCTGTTCTTGGACTCGGCGAGTCTTGTCGAAGAGTCCCAATATTTCCTGGTTGAGTCGAGAATCGGTGAGTCAAGGGATGACTCGGTGAGTTGGGTGCGAGTGGACTCAGAGTTGTTGGACTCGACGAGTCTTGGGGTGACTCGGCGAGTTGGGTCGCGATGGAGGGAAGTTCTGAGCATAGGGACTCGACGAGTCATCGGGTTGACTCGGCGAGTAGGGTCAGTCAGGGGTTGACTTTGACTTTGTCCAAGGTTGACCAGTTGTCTTCCAGGGGTATTTTGGTAATTAAGGGTATTTATTGAATTGAATGTTTCGGTGTTCAGTGGAGGAGTTCGTGTCAGGGTTGGATCAGTGGGATCTTATCCTTTCAGCCGGCAGTTTCGAGGTGAGTTATCCTCACTATATCAACAGGGTCTAAGGCACCAAGGCCGGCCCTTATCGGATTGAGATCCGGGTAGTTGTTATTATTTTGTTGTTGTGATATGCTTGCATCCTGAGAGTTAGGACGGTATATGTTAAAGACCTGATCGAGATCGGTATCCTGAGAGATAGGGAGATGCTATGCTAATGACATGTTAGGTCGGTATCCTGCTTAGAGTATGTTATGCTATGTGATCTGCTAGATCGGCTTGTTTGAATGTGAACTATTATATGATTATATGTTTATGTGTACATGGTTGTTTGGACTGGAGATGGGTTGAGGCGGTCCTGCTTTGTGTTGTAGGCCAAGATACTCAGGGGGGACCGGTTGTTCCGAAGGCCCAAGGAGCGGTCCGAATATGCTGTAGGCCCCACGCGGGCGGACCAGACATGCTGAGGCTCGGAGAGTGGACCAGGCCGACTGAAGGCCCGATGCGGGCGGACAAGTCATACTGTAGACTCAGAGAGTGGACCACGTGAGTTGAAGGCCCAGTGTGGGCGGACCAACCACACTGTAGACTCGAAGGACATGACTAGACTCGGAGGATGGATCCGGTGGACTGAAGGCCCGATACGGCGGACCAGTCACACAGTAGACCCGATATGCATGGCTGTTCTATGTTCTGTTATGTTATGTATGTTTTATATGTTATGGGCCGGAAGGCAATATGTTTTGGACCGGAAGGTCGTAGCCTGGAAGGGCGTATATGTGGTTGGTATTTTGGGGGTATCTCACTAAGCTTTCGGGCTTACAGTTGTTATTTAATGTTTTTCAGGTTCTTCAGAAGACTATGGCAAGGCGAAGGCGTGATCGTACCGCTCCTCATGATTTTGTAGCAATGTGATTCTAGGAATACTCTCAATGATTTGTATTGAAAACTTTTTGTAAACAATTTAATGACATCGGGTTGTTTTTGAAAAAATTTAAATTGGTTGTATTTTTTGGTCGTTACAATTAGTTTGACATATTCATTAAAATGAACAAATTTTGAGAACATATCAGATTCATATCTTAAGGGATATACCCAAACAAAGTGAGAGAAATTATCAAGAAAAATGATATAATATTTATTGTCATTAAAATTAGAAATGGATGAAGTCTAAACATCATAATGAACGAGTTCAAAAGGAAAATTGGAAGCCG